CTCTGCCGGGCCAGGTGAACATCCGTATGCAGAGGAACAAAATAGTCTCTTGTGTTTTATTTCCTTAACAAATCCACCAAAACACTTACTTTACTTCTTTAAAAGGCAGAAAGACAAAGAATTCTGAGGCCACTAAAATATAGTTCCTAAAGCTGGTCTGTAACCACTTTAAAAAGGGCAGGTATTTTTCAAAGTTTCTCTGTTACCTTCAGTATCTTAGTAAGGAATTTTTCACCTATTATGAACACAATAAATATGTTTGCATGCTTTCTACAAAAACAGATTGAAAACACTCACTGGAGAAAGATTTTGAAATTTAAGGAATTAGATAAATTACTATTGTCCTGGATATGTCTGTGCATAAGTTAATACGTTCTATTAAAAACGTATCCCTTTTTGTAGCCAAGCCTTTCATAGAGTAATATTTTTTCTCCAGTAAGACCTTGGTGATTTTCTGTCATGGGGTTTCTTATTACTCTTCTAAAACTTAGTGCTTATGTTATAATTTTTCCCACCTGTGAAGATGAGAACTCAGTATATTTGAGCATGATTAAGCCAAAGTCATTTGGTAAAACCACCTTTAGTTTTGAGAACTAGAAAATATGATTGGACAACCCAGATGGTGGTGTCCAAAGCGTGGTTGTCATCTGTACTAATAATGAATTAATTTAAACTTAGCTCCACTGGATCTTCAGAATGAGAAGAAAGAACTGATTGTATTTTAGCTTTACTCCCCCCAGGTCTTCACGAAGCCAGTGCCCTCTTACCTGAAGTGTTTACTCAACTGTCACCTCAATGTGGCCTTTTCATGGCCACCATTTTAAGCTTTGTCCACCATTTTAAACACTATCCTATATCTTGTTCCCCTCATAGATCTTGTCTGACGAGTAAGTTGTTTATGGTTGTCTGCAGGTTCTGTCCTCTGAACTGGAAGGATGTTCACTCACTCCTTGGGAACAAGGGCTTTGTTGTTCATCTGGTCCCTGTCCTATACCTAGCTCTTGGACCACACCAAGTGCTTGATCAGTATTTGTTGACAAAGTATGTTAGAAAATTTCTGACATAAACATTCACAGTTATTCTAGTGCCTTGAAAAGTAGTTTCAAATAAGTTCTTTTACTCAGCAATTCTTCCAACACCAGCGTATTTTGAGAGTGCATTTCTAGCCCATAAAAGTAGTCAAGAAAACAGAAGCTCTAAGAGTTTTTGTGAGTTGGGTAAAACCAAGGGACTAACAAGCAATGCCTCCAGGCCGGTGCTTAGATCCATCCCTTTCTGTTGCTTTCATCCAAGCTGGGAATCTTTCTGGCCAGAGAAATTAATGCTCCATCCTAAGCAACCTTGCCCAGGTCTCAGAGCACTAGATTTCAGATCAAAAACTTAGATGCAGCATATACATGCTTGATAAATGATACGATCCATTATGGATGGCTCTCAAAGTGTGAAGCTAACTTCTTGACCAAAATCTCTGTCTGCCTGCTAGCCCATGTTGAGGCTACCCTGTGTCCACCCCAAATGTGTCCACTCTGCAGAGGCCTCAGATTCCACAACTGACTTTGCACTGCTGTCTCCGCGGCATTTCCCCTTCAGGTCAGGTCCTGTTGTGATTAGGGGGACACGTGACATCATGGCTGCAGATCACAGCCCCTGAAGAAGCAGAACCGCTCTGGGGAAAACTGCAGTTTCTTCATCTATAGAACTGGGCTAACAACTTTGCTAAGTTCTGAAAAGCAAATGAGATTCCCCCGGTGAAATCCTCACTGTCTTAAGAATCATTGCATGGCTGCTAGGCCTCTGCTGCCAGACTGGGGCCGGGGATGTGCTTCACTGCCTGTGAGATCTTAGAGCTGCAGCATCCAGTGACCATAAGCTGGTGGTTTAAACAACAAAACATCAGTGGCTCACAGTTCCAATAGCTGCATGTCTGAGGCCGCGTTGTCCCCAGATGTGGTCCTTCTCTGCAAGGAGAGTCTCTTCTGTGCTGTCTCCAAACTTCTGCAAATGTGCAGACAATCTTCAATGCTCCTTGCTCATAAAAGCAGCACTCTAGTTTCCGCCTTCATCTTCCATGGTGAAGTCATGTGTCTCTGTATTTTCCACTCATAGATGCCAGTTATATTGGAGTCCGAACCTGCCCAACTCCGAACCGATTTCATCTTAGCTAACTGTGCCTAGAATGCCCTTATTTCCAAAGAAGGCTACATCTTAGGTACTTATGAATGTATGAAACGGGAGTGAGCACAAACGAACCCATGACACTGGCCTTATCACCTTTATATTTGTGATATTGGGGGAAAGAAGTGTTTTTTTAATGTAATTTAATTTTTCTTTTTTTTGGACAGAGTGTCACTATGCAGGTTGAACTCATAGTGATCCTCCTGTTTTTAGCCACCCAGTGCTGGGATTACAGGCATACACCACCATGCCTGGACTCGGTGGCCAGCTCAGCTCACTTGGGAGCACAGCCAGTGCAGTATGCGGTACCAGAGATCGAACTCTGGTCCCTGAGATTGCCTAAGCAGGCACTTAGTCCACTGAGCTATCTCACCAGCCCAGCAGTGGTTCGGTTTCTATTTTGAAGTGAGAAGCAGTGAGTATCCCCATTTAAAAAAAAAAAAAATTGTTTCCATATTCTGTCTTTTTATTTATTTTATTTTTTTTCAGGGAAAAATCAGCAATTTTTGGGGGGGTGGGAGGGAAAGTCCCAGGGATCAAACTTGGCACTTTGTACTTGGCAGGCAGGTGCTTATGCCGCTGGGCTATATCCCCAGTGACAAATTTATTTTTACATACATATTTCACCTTTTAAAAATATTTTGAGTATGTTTGCAGGACGTCATGATACCATTTTTCGTGGAAGTTGGTTCCTGTGCACAGCGCATCTTGGTTCTTCCCTCATCCCCATCCCTCCCATTCCTTCCTGTCCTTCCAATTCCTGGTTCCCTTTCTCATACCAAAGCTCTGTTCCTGCTTTTTCAATCCTTTTCCCCCTGATTTCTCTCCTTCCCCTCTTTCCATATCTTTTTCCTTTTCCCATTTAAGAAAAATCCTCCTATTTCTATTTTCTTTGATTTTGTTCTTTATTTACATTTTATTTTTTATATGTAAGAAAAATGTGATATTTAAACTTGTATAGCATTTATTTCACTTAAAAATGTAATCTGAGGGCTGGGGAGATAGCTCAGTGGTCAAAACTCCTGCACGGCAAGCACAAGGACCCAGGTTTGATCCCCAGTACTGCACACCATGCCATCAGGGAACTCCAGGCGCTCTGAGCCAGCTCTGAAACAGGGCATGGTGGCACACGCCTGTAATCCTAGTGCTGGGGAGGCTGAGACAGGAGGATCACTCTGAGTCCAAACTGTGTAGCAGCTGTGTAGTCCAACCTATCTTGACCCTGCACCAAATAGATAGATAGATAGATAGATAGATAGATAGATAGATAGAGATTAAATATAACTTAATATTACAGTCTCCAGATCCACCCATTTACTTACAAATGCCTCAAGTTCATCCTTTTTAGCAGCAGAGTAATATTCCATTGTGTATAAAAGTCACATGTTCTTTATACATTCCCATGTGGAAGGGCACTTAGGCTGTCTCTAGTATTTAGCTCTTTTAAATTGTACTGCTCTAAATATGGATGTACGGGGCCGGGGAGATGGCTCAGTGGAATAAGCGCATGCCTGGCAAATGCAAGGGCCTGAGTTCAGCCCCTAATTCCATTATACATATATATATATATATATATATATATATATATATATATGGGTGTATGTAGATCACGGTCACGTGATGCCTTTCTGTCTTTCAGGAAGAAGCCTAGAGGAGGGGACTGGCTCTGGTCCAATGGAATTTCTTGCTTTAGTTTTTGCGCACTCGCATTCCTGATTACCACAATGGGTGTGCTAATTTATATTCCCACTGAAAATATAGAAGGGTTCTTTCTTCCTTGTAGCCTCACCAGTGTTGTTGTTATTGGATTTCTTGATAATAGCCATTCTTTGCAGAGGAAGATGGTATCTTAGGGTTGTTTCAATTGGCATTTCTCCAATGCAATATACAACACTTTTTCATGTGTTTGCAAGGTTTTTTGAAACTGTCATGGGAACCAGTGAAATCACTACCTCGAGTAAATAGAACACTGTATTCCAAAACTGTGACAAAAAGGTTTTAATTTTGGACATCATTTTATTTCCTGAGTTGAATTTTCTTGTGACATCTTGGCTGTCTCATAAGTCCCTCACGTGGGGGCCAAAGATCTCAAGTGCCCTCGATGCAAGGGGCCCCCAAGAAAGACAGGTGGAGGCAAAGGAAGAATGAACGTCCGCTTGCCGTGGGCAGGAAGGGTCCCGCAACATCTGGCCCTGATGGCTCGCCGCATCCCTTCCTCAGCGCTCGTTAAATTTCCATTAATGCAGGAGCTTTGAGAATGCGTAGATGCCATTTGGGGCTGGATGTTTCTCCCAGAGCAGCGGCGCTGACTTTGTGTGCCTGTTCCCGGTTGTTTACTTGCCAGTGGCATTTGACCTGGGGTCAGTCCTGCATTTGACCCTTTCCTGTAGGTCAAAAATGAATTAATTGGGTGAAAATTAAATTGGAAATGAGGCATCTGTAGAGCAGGTGTTTTCCGTGGAAAACGTGCTCCAGGTGGAAACATTTTGAGATCTGCTCCTGAGCCATCTCCGAAGAAGCGTCAGAGGTCAGGGAGGCAACTCCAAGATATCCCACGTGGCCAGGCCCTGGAGGGGACCGGAGCAGGTGCCCACTCTGTGCCATTTTCTCAGCAGCCTGCAGAGATTTTTCAAAGGGGTTCCTTTAGGACATAATTTATTCATATATTCACGAACATTTTTCTTGGGCATTCATTGTAGACTGATTTACTTAGAAGTTGCCCTAAATGATTGGAACTTTAGCCTTTACCCCTACCTCCCACCATCAACCAAAGACTTTGATTTGAAGAAAAAAAAATATTGCATTTTTCTCTTTCTTTTCTCTAGAGGATGAGGAAGATGAAGAAATGGTGGAACCCAAAATTGGCAACGATTCAGAACTGGAAAATCAAGACAAAAAGCAGGAAGTGAAGGAAGGTATGATATAAGAGATAAACTGATTATTTTATTGTTTTGCTTCTTTTTGCAAATAGAAGAGATGATAGAGATAAATAAATTTATATCCCCAGTTTGGAGAGTTTTCATGATTACTTAATACATTACGTTGAGCAACATAAACTAATCTCTAAACTTATGTCTTAGAGTTGGCCAGATAGCTCAGCAGACTAAAGCACTTGCTTAGGCAGAGTGCAGGGACCAGGGTTCAATCCCCAGCACCACAAGCCATGCCAGCCCTGCCCCTGAGGTGCAGTGAGATGGCGATTGAACCTGGGCTTGGTGACGCATGTCTGTAATCCCAGCATTTGGGAGGCTGAAAACAAGAGGAACACCATGAGTCCAACTGCATAGTGAAACCTTGTAGACCCTGTACTCAATACATTAAAAATAAATAATAAATAAATACAATTATGTCTTGACTGATAGCAGCAAATGAAATGGAAACATCTGCAATTCCACTCATTATCCAGTAACATTATTACTAGAGTGATAAAATAAGAAACATTAATTATCATGTTACATTATTCACTCACATTCTCTATGATAGCAATAAAGAAAGGGAGCTGACACGAGTATCTTATCTGTAGATTGTGAAGTTGGTTTCATGTATTTTACATAGAAATATTAAGGATGACCATCACCCCTAACAATAATATTAAAATTTTTCTTCCTACCCCATAATAAGAAAGCAACCTTTTATATATTCCAGTGATAATAGTAGCTAACATTTATTAAGGGCTTATGGATATATTTGGATCTCTCCTAAGTAGTCTTCAAGCTTTAGCTATTCCTCAGAACATCCTTCTGAAACATACACTATTATTAACTCTATTTTATAGGTAGAGAACCAGGAAGAGAGAGGTTTAAAACTTACCCAATGATACAAAATTTATAAGCATGAGGCAAGATTTATGTTTGACTAAAAAACCTGTATGCTTCATAATTACATCTTCATAACTTTTACTTACAAATATAATTCTTTATTAGTTTAAGAATTTGGGCACAGGAGAGAACTTCAAAATTGTCATTTTTACTTAAAATAATGGAGTGTCACCAGAGAACTGGATGTAGAGCAAAAGGGTTTCTCTCCATTTCCAACTGAGTTTCTCAAGTATAGATTAGCATAACTCTAATTAGACTCTCATTTGATTTGTAAATTTCAAAGATGGCCGTGGCAGTGTACAGCACATACTAAGCCATGGGTGCTTTTGTAGGAATCGGGGGTATTGATCCTGCATTACTTCAATCTTTTTTTTTTTTTTTTACTTCAATCTTTTGTGCTCTTATAGGAAACATTTGTGTAGCCTGAATACTTGTTCCAGATTACACCCACAGATACTTAGATTTTTGGATAGATCTCCTATGAAGTTAAGTGAGACCATTTTTTAATTGTTAAGAGTCGCCACATATTTAGAACCATTTGAAGTTTTGCCAAAGTGTGTGTTTAATTTGTTCTGATTTATTTTATGCAAGCTCAGTTACCTAAAAGCCATTGCAGGGGCGTAAGAAAAGAGCATGGGCTCTTTTATCTTGGATAGACTGCCCAGGATAAAATCTCTGCTGCGCTCCTAATTTTTTGTGTGATCACTGCTGACAGACGTAGCTTACTTTTTTTTTGGTCTCAGTTTCCTCGTCTGGCAAGCAGAGGTAACACCTATCTCCCAAAGCTCTTTATAAACCTGCCAGAGGTTAGTAAGGAATGTTATCACAAGGTCCAGAAAGTTACAGAAGGAGAAAAAAAATAAATCAGGATCTAGGGAAATATGTTCTTTTTTCTTTTGTAAAATAGGCTTAAAACACACTGGGTGACAGGCAACTAGGGTAGTTTCTCTGGTCTTGGCCCCAGTCCTCCCTCACTGTACCCACTTCCACTACCTGTCTCCAAATTATCTTTCCCTGGCAAAGCAAAGTAACCTCCTCCTCAAGCTTAGAGTGAAAGCATTCTTCAGTTTTAACTGTTACTCATACTTTGTGGAACTGATTAAAGCCATGTTAAAAAAAAAAAAAAAAAAAAAGTTTGCAAGAACATTTCCTGTGACCACTTCACTGTGCACTTCTTTTCTCCATTAATGGTTTTTCTGCAAATGAGCACATAATGGGTTAAAAGCCTGTTTACGTTGGCATCCAGCTATCCGGCTTCTTTCTCTTTCACTTTTTTAAGGAAGACAGTGTTTTGCAAAGTTTTAAAAGAATCTCTAGCAGATATAATTGTGGCGCCATTCACAGGCCGGCATAGTAGGCAGGGCTGTGTCAGCACTTCCATTATGAACCCTGCATTTCAGGGATTTATTACTTAGCCATAAAAATTTGCTCTGGGCTGAAACTTGACATACATGGTTTCAAACCAGGGAGTGCATTTTTGAGAAATCTGTTTGGTGCTTTTTTTTTTTTTTTTTTTTTGGAATGAAAGGGGGAAAAAGTGGTGAGGGAAAGATGGGGAATCGGGACTCACTAACTTTGGACATTTTTGCTTGCGTGACATCAAAATGCATTAAACAGAAAAAAAAATAGAGTTTTGATTTATGAATGTTTCCACTTTTTATCCAGAATAGGTCAGGAAAAAAACTAGAACAGCATCTCAGCTGTTAATTAAAATTTAGGGAATTTCTGTATGTCGGTGCCCAAGTCTTCCTATTCAGAGAGTCAAAACAGAGCCCTCACTCTTGTAAATACAAATTAATTCATAAATCTCTCAATAAGTCCAAGGAAGGAGTTCAGTTTCCATTAGTTAAGTTTGGCTTCCTTGTGGCTGTTTATGAACTGATTTTACTATCAAATTCCTTTTAAAGCTACTGTCCCAATTTAATCTGATGTTTTTCCTGACTGAGTGGGTTCATTTATCTTTTAGTTAATCTTATGAAATACGTTTAAATATAATTTTTTAGGTTGAAATTTAATACTGCATCACTGAATCACAGTGTAGCATTTCTCTTTTAGTCTTTTTGAGATAGTAACTCACTATGCTGGCCTTGAACTCACTTCGTAGTCCAGGTTGACATCAAACTCACAGCAATACCCCTGTCCCAGCCTCCCAAGTTCTGGGATTACAGGCATGCACCATGACTCTCAGCTGGGTGAGGTGTTTCTGAAGCAGGTACTTTAAAAATAACTTTCAATGTCAAAGGAGGATAACAAAGTACTTGAAGTTGTGGAGTTCATAATGAACTTCGTATTTCTACACAGGCAAAAGTTACAAGACTCCTCCTACAAGCCAAAAGATGTAAAATATAGTAAGTAGGGTCAATTAAAAAGAAATGGATAAAGCACATAGTAGGTGAATGAGAAAACTCTAGAAAATACAGCAAACAGGATAGAATCCCCTTGAAAGATTTATAAAAGCTATCTTCATATGTAAAATTAACATAAATTAACATTTATACCATCAAAACCATTAAATGTGACTCCTAAATAAAATTCATATTAGGTTTTAATTTTGCACAGATTTGTAGAATTGCTCTTCTAAAATTTCCGTTTCATGAATCTGGCATGTTTCTTGCACATATATTTTATTTGTGCTGAATGTTCCTGGGTAAATTTTTGCAAATTTGAAATTGATCTTGTCCTTGAGAGTATATGTAAGTCATCTCCACGTGTTTTACTTTTCATAAAGGATCCTTTTAAGGTTCCGGTACTGTTAACACATTACTACGTGTACAACCTGGTGGAGTCCACTGTGATCTTTCCATGCATGAATATCTCAAGCACTGGTCAGGTCTCCGCTCCCTGCCCCCAGCCTCTCCCTTCTAGCCGGACATGTTCCCAGATAGACCCTCTTCTACTTTCAGATGATTGGTTGGTTTTTTACTTGATTTTGTTTCTACATATGAGAGGAAATAGGATCTATGTGTCTTTTCACTTAGCATGATGTCTTTGAGCACCATCAGCTATCCTGCAAATGACAGGACTTCATGCTTCTTTATGGCTGAGTAGTATTCCTTTGTGCCTACAGATCACTGAGGCACTCATCTGTCTACGGGAACCAAGGCTGATTCCATATGTAGGCTATTATGAGTGTTGTCCAAATAAGCATGTGCACACAGGGGTTTCCCTTGTATCCTTCCACGTACCCAGCAACAGTATAGCTAGATCATAGGATAGTTCTACTTTTACCTTTTTGCATTGTAAAAGACACTTTACTTGCACGAATTATTACTAACTGGCAACTATTGAAATAACTACTTTGTGTCGTGAGACCAACGAAATCCAGCGCCAGTGCACTGCTGTGTTATGTTCTGCTAGACTTGTAAGAACATGTTGTCTTAGTTACTTTTTCGCCTCTGGGACACCACATCCGATATGCACAACCGAAAAGACAAATTTATTTTGGGCCCACGGTTTCAGACGTTTTCAGTGTGCGGGCTCCAAGGGGGGCTGTTCCCCTTCTCGCCAGACCTTCCTCCTGACAGCACACTGAACCTCAAGACCTTCAGCGGATCCATTCACTGGTGAAGACAGCTCCTTGTGACCCAGCCACCTCCCAGAAACCCCACTTCCAAATGCAGGGGGATTTTGGGGAGCACTTTCAATCTGAACTGGAACAGTTACCCTTGCTTTTGTTTTGTTCTGATGCAGCCCTTGCAATTAAGTCAGTGCCTATCTTTTTATTTCTTTTTTTTATTTATTTATACTTTTTTGTCTTTTTGCGACAAGGTCTCGCTATGCAGTTCAGGCAGAACTTGAGCTCACTTTGTAGCCCAGGCTGGTCTCGAGCTCTCCACAATCCTCCCGCCTCAGCCTCCCAAGTGCTGGAATTAGAGGCATGCTGCTGCCATACCCAGTGCCTCCTACCTTTTTAAATCATGAACTTGTTAAAAACAATTTGTTGTGTTTCAGAAACAGGGAAAAAGTGACAGAAGCATGTATCAGGGAAAATTTGAGGTCCATTCCAGAATAAAACAATTCTGATGACATCTATTTATTTCTGTATTATACACTTTCTGTGTTCCACTAATCAACCTTTTTTTAATGCCTAAAGAGGTTTTGTTTCTGAATATATCTTTTGGTTGTAGTTCTGTGAAATTTCATTATATTTTCATTACGTTGTAACAACACTTAGCAATCTAAAGATTTTTAAGTAATGGGAGGTTTTGAAATCAAAACTAACCATGGCCCTCTTCATTGCATAAGTTGAATATTGCTTATTATTTTTAAAAAGTACCTATGAGCAAGTGCATGTTATTTAGTGCCAACAAAACATGTCATTTGATCCCTATTAGACATCAAAGCTTCATATAAAGTATATCTTTTATTTTGCCTCAACGACAACTTAATTTCAGGCCAAATATTGTATCGTCAAGCATACTATCTAGAGAGGCTGCCGCGTCACCTACCTGAACTCAGCCTCTGGGGACACGCTTTGATAGGCCATTTGTGTGTCTTGCAGAAGAGGTTACACATCCTGAAAGCTGAGATCAAAGCCACGATAAGCCACAGGGAAGAAAAAATTACAGAAAATTACACTGGTACTATTTTTGTTGTTGTTGTTGTTCAAAGTAATGGACCTGTATGACAAGATACAGGTAAAATAGAAGTAACTCAGGAAGGTAAACGGAGGCCAGCAAGATTTTTTTATGCCACAAAAATATAAGAAAAGGGGACAAGTTCCTACTTTTTTCTCGGTTTCAAGCATGTCCGCAGTCATCCATTAACAAGGCTGAGTGAGTCTTTCTATAAAAGGTTTCCTCCTTGGCCCCTGCTATCCTTGTCAAAAGAAGTTCCTTCATTTATGAGTGTTAAACAAAACCAAAGATATCCAGCATTTTGTAGTAGTTCTTTCCCCTTTGGCCTCATTACATTTAGCAGTTTCATTGTGTTATTAGGTGAAGTAGCACAAAGCAGGTTTGGAAAACAGACTTATAAATGACTACTTAACTAGTGACTGTTGAAAGCTTAACTAGTTGCTCAGTATATTTATCTGTAACCTTTATGCCAGACTCAGGTTTAGGTGTCATTACCCCCCTTTTTTGGATGCAACTGCTTTTCAAGGGCTCCAACTTATGGGTTAAAAATCAAGGCTAAGCAATGGCAGAGTCAATATTTGATTCGAGGCTGGCTTTGGAGGTCAGGCTATTTATGTACAGCCCCTGCGTACTTCTCCAGAACCCAGCCAGCATCTGAGAGTGCGCGTTGCCAGCCTCACCATTTCTTAAACTGGTGTCTGGGTGACACTGCACAGCAGACGTTGACAGGGTTTTGGGAGAGTCCCAATATACACTGGGAATCTTAGGGCTCTGGAACCCTGGGCAGCAAAGGACTATTTCTCACTATGCTTAGGAATGCTGTGAACGATGGGGTGGTCTGAGTGTCGAGTTCTTGTGCTATAGTGGATGAATCATGTTTTGTCCTAGGACCACTCAGACAGCATTTCTTAAGGTATGAAGCCGCTACATCAGAATCATTCTAGTTTCTTGAATAAATACAGATTCTCGGGTGCCTGCAGGACCCCTAACATCATGATCTGAGGCAAGGGAAGTCAAAAGGGAGAGACGTTATGAACAGTAAAGGTTTGAGATCCACTATCATGGCGCTACAGAAGCCCTTCTTGTTTTTGTTTTGTTTTGTTTTGTTTTGGTTTGGTTTGGTTTGGTTTGGTTTGGTTTGGTTTGGTTTGGTTTGGTTTGGTTTTTTGTGACCGGCTTAGGCGGGGCTGGCGCTGCCTGTGGCACCTGGGATGGAACCGCGGTCCCTGTGCGTTTGCCTAAGCAAACGCTTTAGATCGCTGAGCTATCTCTCCTGGAAGACCTTCTTTACAATTCATATTTCTTTGGATGGCACCCTTGAGATACCATTAGACAAATCAACTCACACTTCTAGAGAAGAGGGGGCTGCAAGGGATGCTACCTAAAAGCTTCCTCTGGCCACACAGCCGGGTACCCACTGGTCCTGTGCATGGAGATGGTCAGGGAAGTGTTCGGCAAACTGCCACTGAGAGACTCCACCAGGAAGGCAGCTCTGATCCTAACGCCTGACTCCCTGCCTACAAGCGCAAGTTCGGGCGTCTCCGTACACTTGAAAGAGCAGTCAGTCAATGGTTCATTGAGCACACTGAACTGGGATTCCTCAAGAAGTATGAAAACGCAGCTGACAGCTTCTGTACTGTAGGGCTTTCAGTGTGGGGAGGTTCTTTATTCCTTCCTCGGGGCTTTATGCAAAAAAAAAAAAAAAATGCTACTCAAAGAAAATTTATGTAACCAACTGTGACTCAGAGGTGAACTAACTTTCAGCCCCTGTCACACACTGCTAACTTGCCTCATCTCTCTGTCTCACGTTGCATCTTCACAATTAGGTTGATAACACTAATCATTCTAAAATAGAAGATGTGAAATTAATGGTAGAGTGTTTTAGCACCTTCTCCTTCCGTGCTTGTTTGTTTTTCCCTCTGGCCGCGTGGGGGCCAACAAGGCATGCGGTACCAGGGATCGAGGGTGGGTCCTCCAGCATGCTGAGGCAGGTGCTTAGGCTGCTGAGCTATCTCTGCAGCCCTTCTCCATGTCTACTAATACTTGATCTTAGCCAAAAGGTTGACAAGCGATGCTCCATGCCTGCTCAAGAGCAGAAGAGGTATTAGATGAAAGTAAGTTTGGAAAGACATGTTTGTTTAGCCTTTTTGATGCAACTTTATGACAATGTCAACTTACCACCTAACTATCAAAATAAAATAAATTTATCCAATAAAAAGAAGAAAGGAACTATGTCATAGATAGTTCCTAATTATTTAACATGTGTGGCTTAATAATAGCATTTAATATTGTATGGCTTTATAAATTAATGCAGTTATAGACTACGTTAGTTCTTTTTAAAATTCTCTTATAAAGAATATTACCTTTAGACTTGTTTACTAGAAACACATCAATATATTTTCATTTGTAGTCATTTTCAACTCTTCAAAATTGTAATTAGGTTATATCTGAAATCTTTTTGTGGGAATATCTACAAAAGCCTTTGGTGTGAATTTGGGAACAATTTAGAATCCATATTAACAAGGTTTCACTTCATGTGGCATGCCACTTCTTTGATAAGCCATTCTTTCAAGAATTAGAGTTTTCTCAAAAAATTTTTAATTGACCTATTTTCTTTCTTAACTTTTTTTTTAACATAAAAAGCCCCTCCCAGGGAGCTGACAGAGGAAGAAAAACAGCAGATTCTTCATTCAGAAGAATTCCTCATCTTTTTTGATCGAACAATACGGGTGATTGAAAGAGCACTGGCCGAAGACTCTGACATCTTTTTTGACTACAGTGGCAGAGAATTGGAGGAAAAAGATGGGTGAGTCTCTTGTGTATTCGTGAAACTATAAAATATGCTAAATTATCTGTGGTGCCCGGGGATTTTGTTGTTGCCGTTATTGGTAAGATACAGGTAACTTTGTGTTCCCGGGCTGGCCTCACACACAAAATGCTGGGAATACAGGCTCACACTGCTGTGCCTGGCTTTGCATCTGTCCATGGTAAATCCGTGTATGCATTGAGTAGTCAGACTGCAAATCTATCGAGTCACAAGGAGATCAGATTCCAGGACTGATCCTGCCTAACAGCTTTGCACATGCGCTTTGGGTATAACTTGTGGCCCTAAAGTTGCCTTGTCATCATCAGGTGCCTGCAGGAAATGTTGTTGAACATGATAGCCAGGGAACAGTTCAGGTGACAAAGGCTGGAGGAGTCGTGTATATTTTCCTTTGAATCAACAGCTTATTATAAGCAGAAAAAGGAGATACTTTTATATCTACTGTATCTACTGTATCCATTCTTGATGTCTAAGCAACCAGGAAACTGAGGACAATAAGCATAAGATGTAAGAGAACTTCACTGGTGTAGGAAACAACAAACAGGCAGGAAAGTTTTTCCTCTTTTAGGTCATGGGAAAAAAAGTTCATTTTAGTAGACACCTATGGAAAGAATGTATTTATAAATAAAACAGACAGAGATTAATCAATAGGAGAAAGGTGAGGGCTGGCAGTATGGCTCAGAGGACTAAGCGCTTGCTTAGGTAAGCACAGGTATCAGGGTTCGATCCCTGGCACCACATGCCACCCCAGCCCCCCCCCCCAGGCACACTGAGCTGGCGATGGAGTCCAGGCATGGTGGCGCATGCCTGTAATCCCAGCCTTGGGAAGGCAGGAATCAGGAGGTCGATCACTACAAGTCAGAGCTGCGTAGTGAGACCCTGCACACACACACACACACACACACACACACACACACACACACATCTTAAAAAATTTTTTTTTAAAAAGAAAGGGGCCCAAATGTATTTCTCTATAACTATATTACATGTGTTGGAAAATAGCAGGTATCAACCACTGTGGTAGGATGGGAGGAGACGCTTTAAAAAAATTTACAAGAAAGAGACAGCTAATTTTTTAAACAATTTTTTTTTGTATAAGAATAATATACAAAGGCAGGATCACTTGTCTTTTTCATCAGACTTGATTTTTTTTTTTTTTTTTTTTTTTTACTATTCCTAAAATTCAGACACATGCTTACAGGAAAACATCGTATCATCACTGAAGGGGCTCAGGAGGGTGAAATGGGCTCTGGAAATAATTTCAGAGCTCAGTTCTAAAAATGTTTCCACCACCTGACAACATCTTTGTGCTACTTAAAACAGACAACAGTATTCCGACTATACATGCCCTGAAATGTTTGTTTTGTTTTAAAAGCTAGTATATTGCTCTAAGTTGATTTTGGTGCTGTTCTGCTCTTCTGGGCAGCTGGGCTGCTGGCAAAAATTGTGTGGTGCTTCTGAGTTGGTAAGGGCACAGGGGAGGAAGGGCTAGCAAGAAGGACCAGGCACAGCAGGGCAGCTGAGGAGAGCACAGAGCTCTGAGGACAGGTTACCCCATCTGAACAACAGCTGCCCGGCATGAGTGACACAGGTGCTACCAGTACAGCAGTGCACATGAGCAGAGGAAAGGTGAATGTAGGCAAATCCTCGATTGGGAGTTCAAGAAATTTGGATAGTTGTGGTGTGGGTGGAGTCACTGCTAGTACAAACTCTGCATTACTCAGTTCACGCACGCAGTCTTGTGGAATGACTTTATGAACAGCACAGAGTTCTTTGAAGGTGGTGCTAGGGTCAATCAAGTGTTAGGGTCGGCCATGTAAATCCTGGCCAAAGTGTCCTCAGCCTGGACCTCAATTCCATTTTGAGATTTTTTTTTTTTTCAGAACTGGGGATTGAACTCAGGACCTTGCACTTGCCAGGCAGGTGCTTATTCAACTGAGCTGTCTCCCTGGCCCTCTAAATTCTATTCTGATCCGTGACAAGAATGATAGGCAGCTGTTCATAACACATGTGGTGAATTCTCACTGTCTGCCATGTCTAGTTCATGGTAGATATTATCACCTACTATTAAACAAGGAGGTAACCAGTAGAGCCAATAGAATTCACAAGTAAATAGAAACATGTGTGTGTCATTTCTGGCCTATTAACAGATAAGGTGGTATTGATATTAAAAAAAAATTACCTGTGTTGCTATGCTTCTTCTTTGTTAGAAGGGAGATTTTTAACAAACAGTGCTTAAAGATAGAGCAAATTTAGTGAAAGAAAATGCTTCAGGACTGAGCAAGGTGGGAACATGAAATCTAACATTTCATCCCAGTTTAAGACAACATATAGTCAACTTTTCGTAAAGGAGATCAACTTTAGTGCATTTATTTGATTGATATTTTTGCTTCAGGGAGTATTCTATGCTATGCTTTTGTCCTATTACTTTTCCTACATGAGCAACCTAGAGATGAAGCCCCACAGAGAAGCATCTTATTTACCTCTGCTGTTTAAACCCTCCTAGGGATGTTCAGGCCGGAGCCAATCTCTCTTTCAACCGCCAGTTCTATGATGAGCACTGGTCTAAGCATCGAGTGGTCACTTGTATGGACTGGTCCCTCCAGGTAAGAAGTATCACTGGCATGGGACAAACTGGGCTAGTATCCAATGACACTTGTGCTTAAAAAGAAGATTTGTTATTCCACGTTGGATGTGTTTACTAGCCTGCAATTTGCTTCTCTAAGCCTTTTGGTCTTCTTTCTCATTTTACTGAGGTTTTTGCATTAATCCTCTACTCAGTTACATGTGTCTGAAGACCTACTGTGTGCTGGGCGCCCATCAGGGAGCCAAACCATTCCCTCAGTGAGTCTATGCCCATTACGGTTAGGACTGCTGTCCTGCTTTGCAAATCCAGTGGGTACTGGTAGGCCCTCATGTACTCTGACATTGCCGTGCTAACCAGGCTAGTTGACCTCTCCATATGAGGGACACAGCCGCTAGCCGTTGAACTCTTCCTGCCCAACTCTACGGAGCTTCTAGTGCTCTCTGGTTGCGCCCTCCATTCTGCCCTCCTCCGTCACTGTGAATTCAGTTATAGCCAGTCCCTCCTTCCCTTATTAGAAGTTGAACCCAAGGCTTTTACACTGAGCTGTAGCTCTCCTCTTTTAAATGTATTTGTTTTATTTATTATTATTATTATTATTATTATTATTATTAATTGATACAGGGTCTTGCTACATAGCTCAGACTCATAGTGATCCTACTGTCCCAGCACTGGCATTATAGGCATGCTGCACCATGCCCAGTTCCAGGGCCAGCAAGACATGGGGTACCAGGGATCAAACTCAGGTTCTTGAGCTGGTCAGGTAGGCACTTAGACCACCGAGCTAACTCCCAAGCTCAGTGCATTTGTTTTAATTTTGTGTTATTTTATTCTTTCTCACTAAGTGACTCAGGATGCACTCAAACTTGTGATCCTCCTTCCTCACTATCCCAGAGTGACAGGATTACTGGCAGACATCACCACCCAAGGTTCGATTCCACTCCAAGGTCATCACAGAGAATGACTACTGTCCCACTCTTTATTTATTTACTTTTTATTTATGTATTTGGTACAGGGTCCCACTATGCAGCTTGGGCTCAATGATCCTCCTATTTTTAGCCTCCCCAGTGCTGAGATTACAGGCATATGCCACCACTTATGATCTCAGTGGCCAGCTCAGTGCACCTGGGGATGGGGCTGGCAAGGCATGTAGTGCTAGGGATCGAACCCTGGTCCCTGCACTTGCCTAAGTGGGCCCTTAGTCTGCTGAGCTTTCTCATTGGTCCCCACTCACATATTTATCACCTTATACTTACTATCTCCTTTCTAATTATACTTTCTACTACACTCTATGTATGTCCTCTTAGATTGATCTCTGTGGCACCCAAGCAAACAATTCTTCTAAAGTAAAAATCTAACCAGTTCATTCCCTGGATTAAAATTCCCTTTTGCCTCTTTGACTATAGGGTCAAAGTCTAAACTCCTAATGTGACAATTTAGAATAAAAAGCAGGCAAACTAGCCAAAAGGTAACTTGAGCTTCTGATGATACATTACTAACCCAACCGGTTAACAATAGACCAAGCACTGTGCCCAGCCCTGAGCACTTAAAGTACACAAAGACACAAAGCCTAGGGGTGGTAAGATCATGCTTTGGACCCAGATGCTCTCCTAAGCATGTTCTGAATGACATGTGACAGGATAGCAATGGGGGAATCAGGAAGGACTAGTCCTGTAACACATTTACCTGTAACACATTCCTGTTCTCTTGTAGTCTATGCATTTACTGAAAGTAATAATCATAGCGAGCCTTTAATGTGTTCTTCTTTATGTGCTTACCACTGTGCAACTGCTCCGAAAACTTCCTTATTCAATAGCAATCCCAAGTGCCGGCCAAATAGCTCAGTGGATTAAAGCACCTGCAAGCAGGTGCAAGGCCAGGGGTTCAATCCCCGGGCCTGCCATGCCAGCCCCGCCCCTGGAGGGGGGGTGAGATGGCAGTTGAGACTGGGCATGGTGGCATGTGCCTGTTTCCCAGCTCTTGGGAAGCTGTAAACAGGTGGATCACTATGAGTCCGATCTAGTAGTGAGACCTGAGCACTCATAACCCTTCTCTAAAATACACACACACAAAAAAAAATAGCAATCCCAACAATCATATGAAGCACCACTATTGACATTTTTATGTTGTAAGTGAAGAACCTGAGACTCAGAGAAGCTGGATAACTTGCTAAGAATCACTCTGATAAGATGGCAGTCAAGTGGAGATTTGAACCCGAGCCTTTCAGCATTCTGAGGTACATGTTCTTAACCACTGCCTCCTAGCAAAGGCTACCTCTAAATCTATACCCAAGAAACCTTGTAGATTCTAAATGAGCTACAGCAGAGAGTAGGTGCTTCTAGAGTTTGGTGGAGGTTGGGGGTCTCTTGTCTGAAGGTGGGATCTAAGTAAGTGGCCAGGAGAAAAGTGTGTTCGGGGCCTGGAAGGATTACCTGAGTGGAGCAAAGCAGACCTAAGGAAGAAGTAGAGACTATGATGTCTTTGCATAGCTTTGCTTTTATCTTGTGGGCTTCATAAGCAGTAAAACAGAAACTTGATAATATTTGCAAGATGTCACCCAAACTTTATTACTTGAAAAACTAATTGAACACTTGGGGAATTACATCAACTTTGTCATTCATCAAACACTGCCCAGCACAGTGAGTCAACAATATGGTCCACATACCACATGACACATTTTCCAGATATGTATTAAACAAGATTCATAATCTTGCTCTATCATATGTACACTACTTCACCTACATGGAATTTGCTTCCTTCAACTAACTCTAAAGTTGTCTAATACACAAACCTGAGTAATCTTTGAAAGGCCATTTAGTTACTAAATTAAGCAAATTACAACAGCAGAAGGATTCCACTGACATTAGTTCAAATCTATTAACATGTGGATTTATAAGTACTTCTGTCATGCCCTCTACTTCTTGTATATATTAGAAAATAGCAACCTTCCTAGACACTCACTTTCAATCTCTACATAGTGCCATTGTTACGTAAGTACTGTTACTAAGGGAAACTTTATCAAGATTATTTATGTGCTTTTTGTATCATCTTGGACAAGTTGTCTAACTTTTCTTGGCTAAAATTTTTTGTCCAGGAAATGAGGATAAGACCCCATCCACATGCTCATCGTGAGAATTAAATCAGTGAATCTGTCTAATGGACTGAGAACTTTTAAAGTGCTCAGTGCATAAGAAGTACTCAATACATGCAACACAGTAGAGAGAATAGCAGGAACCAGGTTTTAGTGACCACAGTGTCTAATTCTTACCTCTGCTCTCCAGAGGAAAACTGACAAGCCTTAACCTGCACTTAGGGGTTTCTGTGATAATGTCTTCAGGCATTTCCTACACTGTCTTCTTCAACAGCTCTTCATGCAGTGTTTTAGGCTTATGCTCATGACTGGGACAAATACCCAATGCCCATGACTCAAAGGAGGAAAGGTTTATTTTAGTTCATGATTACAGTCCATGGTGAGCTCACTTGAACACAGAGTAGCATGGCAGGATACCACAGTGGAGGAAAGCTGCTCAGATCACGGCAGACAGGAAGTAGAGAGTGTGGAGAGGAGCCAGGAAATACACCCTCCAGGGCACGTATCTGTGTTGGTCAGACCCCACCTCTTAACAGCAAGTCAACTATATCACACCCCAGATGCAGTCACCTTCCAAAAGACCCATGCATGAATACATGAGGCTTTGAGGGCAGAGGACATAATGATCCAAGCCATAACACGCAACCTGATGTGTCCCCTGATGTGTCTCCTAAACATTTTCTTTTCCTCTCTAAAAACAAAAAACAAAGCCAGGTGTGGCGGTACAGGCCTGTAATCTTAGCCCTCGAGAGGCAGAGGCAGGAGGACTGCCGTGAGTTTCAAGGCCAGCCTGGGCTACGTAGTGAGCTCAAGGCTGGTTTGAACTGCATAGGGAGACCCTGTCCCCCCGCCCCCCACAAAAAAGCCAAATCTTCACCTCTGGATAGGTTAAAACAGGAGCTTTATTGATGACACATGAAGCTAGTTACAGAATTCATGGAAAATATAGAGAACAACAACTCAGGAATGAGAAATCCAAGCATATGTATGGAGAGACTTCACAAGTAGCATACTATCATGAGCCTGACTCGTTGCCATTCCCTGGGTTCTGTGTCTCCATTCAAAATTTACGCCACCTAAGTTAGAGAATGTGATTGGCTCAGCTTTCTCAGGTGTTACCCCTTAATAAATTAGCCCTGGCATGTTAGACCCCTGTGTATTCGAGTTAATTCCAAAGAGAAGAACCTGTGAATCAGGCAGACACATAGCGTATTAGCCTCTTGTAGCCAGGATGGGGGACACAATCAAAAGGAGGAAAAGTTTGTTTGGGGTCTTAGTTCCAGAGGCTTCCATCCAGGGTCACTTGGCTCCAAGGTTGAAACATCATGTGCAGGAGCATGGCACACAGTAACTCCTCCCCGCATGGCAGCCAGAAACCAGAGTGAGAGCAGAAAAGCAAGAGATGAAATCTAGCCTTTGAAACCATACCCCTGTGCCCTGTTCCTCCACCTGGGCTCCAACTCCTAACACATCTTCTCTCTCTTCTGTCCTAGCAACTCACCCATCTGGCAAAATTTAAGTCTCATTTCTTCCCATAAGTCCTTTCCGCCTTCCCTCCTGCCACACACCTCCCTCAAATACGGTGGCTATTTTCCACATTCCCTCCTCCCTACCTGTTCTTCTAGAGAGCCTTGATTATGTATGCCTGTTAGCACATGCTGTTCTACTTTAGCGGCTGGGTTGTAGCCATTCCTACTAGTGTCTTTCCTCCCCCGCTAGAGGCCAAGCACTTACAGAGCAAAGAATGTTAGTGTGGTTTTTCTTTTCCCACATTCAACCTGGCACAGCACTTTATGGATGTACGGAACAGGCAGAGTTTGACACATACCACAGTGAGCAGGAAGGGAGACAGCTTTTGAAGTGTAGCAGAATTTAAGAGTGATCTTTATTTCATCACTTTTCAGTAATAGAACTTGGAACAAATTACTTATCCAGAGACCTTTGGCTTCTTTGTCCGTAGAAGTGAGTGAACCACTACCTACTTTACAGATTGTAAGGAGTAAATGGATTTACATATTATCCATCTCGGTATCTGGCACATATTGAGCCCTTAAATCATGCCTTTTTCCCCTTTTTATGAACAGTTAGATTTAATTTTCCTTTAAGAACAAACCTGCCGCAAGAACACAGCTGGTAATTTCTTGGTAAAATTCCCCTTAAGTTAAATATTAGTTAATCAAGCCTTATGAGAAATTAAATAACCACAAATTTCATAATTGTTCGAAGTCATAATTTTAAATTTGCTTTAAAATTTAAATGATTATTTAGACGATTTGTCTTGGTAGATAAGAAAGTACAACCAGTCTTGCTCAAACATCAAACAGTGCAAAAAGCACACCAGAAGCAAGTTGGGAATCACAGGAGCTTATATGAGATAAAATTTAAATCACTCTCTTTTGGCCTTGTAAACCCAGTTATCAGAATTATGCTGAATGCATTTTGCTCATGTTTTACTGAAGTCCACCCTGTTTTCTAAGGGAGCCTTGAAAGCCAAATAATTTAAAATATTTGCAAATGGAATACACAAAAGCTGCAACTGGGTGCCAGTGATGAGACTCAGATGTAAGACTGAGGGATAGTACTGCGGACACGTCTGTCTGATCCCCGGCTCCTGTGGGAGTGGCGCTGGTTAGTTATACAGTTGTCATTTCCCATGTGACATGGCTGAACTTCTGATGGACAGTCTGGAGATTTCTGTTTATCTGGGTGTTGGTTTCACAGAATGGGACTTGAATAAAAGCCATGCTTGAAAGGAGGAGTGTTGTTTTCTCATAAAGAATGATTACGTTCTGTGGTTCCTACCTGCATGTGTACCTCGTATGCTTGCACTTCCTCGGTATCCACCTGTAAGTTATAACTCTGCAGCTTCCTCTACTGAGGCAGTTTTATTAGTGGTTTTGTTTGTTTGTTTGTTTGTTTGTTTGTTTGTTTTCGGAACCGGGGATTGAACTCAGGTCCTTGTGCTTGCCAGAGAAGCGCTTATTCCACTGAGCCGTCTCCCCGGCCCTACTGAGGCAGTTTTAAAAAATGAATAAAACCATATAGAATACTCAGGCTTACTTATATTTCCTTCAGGGAGTTATATTCACACTTATAAGGTTAATCTGCTTAAATGTAGATACAACATAGTAAAAATGAGAGAGGACATAAAATTATCTATGAGAAATGATAAGATCAGCAACAATCTTGAGACTTGTGAGACTCCAGGTAGGCATGGCATTTCCATGAACTGTGTTCTGCCTTATAAATATCTCCTATGAGATTTATTCTGGGTTTACTTAATAACACTCAGGCCAGAGTTCATACATAGTGAGCAGAGATTTCTAAGAACAGCATCGCTATAGAATCCTTCTTGTTTTTATTGCTTGTGTTTCTTGCATTTAGGCCTTTAATTATTGGTTTTGTTGGATAACAAAGGAGTAAATATTTTTGCTGAGCACAGAGTTACTAAAATAAAAAGTTACTAAAATAAAAAAATATATATCTCAACTGATTTTGGCACAAGTTTATATCAGATACTAGGTATTGTTAGATAGGTCAGTATAAACTAGATCCTAAATTCAAAGAGCTTACTCTCTAGTGAAAGATACAGGTGGGCAAATGCCTGCATTTGGGTGTGCTTTAATGGAAAGGCACCTGGTACTAAGGGTACTAAGAATCAGTAGAGCAGGGTAGATGGTCAGGGTTGTCAGGATGACTTGAGGCCTACATGAGCCTCAAAGACTGAGCTTAAGGGTACCAGCGAGATAGCTCAGCAGACAAAAGCGCCTGTTTAGGCAAGCGCAGAGACTGTGGTTCGATCCCTGGCACCACATGCCATGCCAGCCCCACCCCCACAGCAGGCTGAGCCAGCCACTGAGTCTGGGTGTCGTGGTGCCTGCCTATAATCCCAACACTGGGGAGTCTGAAAGCAGGACAATCACAACGAGTCTGATCAAGCCTAGGGTGATATTTGAAATGATTCAGCATATTAAGCTTTTTGAATTCACTGCATTAGATAAGTCTCTCTGGAAAGAAAGTGTAAACAGAAAGCAGAGAGGTAAGAGAACAGGCCACATTGGAATACATGTAGCAAAAGGAGAATCTCTAGTCACTGAAGCAATATGGTCAGGAAAGAACCTTAAGAGAGACAGACAGGGTTTAGTGAAAAGAAATATAGGAGAAGAAAGGAGTAATCCAAAGTGTAGGTGCTACAAAGAAAGAAGCAGTGTTTGCAGTTTGGGAGTTATTTGTGACCAAGCAAGCAGAGATGGAGTGATGGAGGCAGGAGCCAGGGTGCAATTGGTTGAGGCCATATGCTGAAAGCACTACTTGAATTGTGCGACATTGTGTGTGTGTGTGTGTGTGTGTGTGTGTGTGTGTGTGAATGAGGTCGTTTTGTTCTTGTGGAATCATCTTAGCATAACGCATCCTCATGACCTCTTCCATCTAGTACCCTGAGCTGATGGTTGCCTCTTACAACAACAATGAAGATGCGCCCCATGAGCCAGATGGAGTGGCCCTGGTTTGGAACATGAAGTTTAAGAAAACCACACCGGAATATGTCTTCCACTGTCAGGTAGGAGTCAGAATTGTAAAAATATCATCTCCTACTTGACCAAATATAGTTCGTACTATCCTGCATCTGTCTTACATTGGGAGGAAGAACTGAGTTTAAAAATGGAATTGTTGACAATTTTGGAAAATTCCCCCACAGTAACCTAATGTTTTGGGAAAGTGGCAACCCTCTTCAAACAGTTAGGAAGCCTGTTTGGGGACTGTGTGTCATTTTCTTTCTATTTAAAACAGCCTCCACGAGGATGGGTTTCTAAAGACCTCGCACTTATGAAGAAATTGTGGTGAACCGCTTCCTCTGCTTCACAGGAACATATGCTTGCCCACCCGCGTGGCCATCTCACAACTCTGCCATTTCCAGCTCCCTTGTCGCCCTTAAATGCAACAAATTTTGCCAACTTTAAGTTTATAAGTGTCACATTGTTTTACAGATAGTAACACTCTTGGAGCTGGGCTGGGGAAGACTAACCACCAATATTTCTTATAGAACTGTAGATGCCGTTATTAGTTGGTAAATCAGTTAATATCACATACTTTTGGGTATTTTACTCTTCGTGCCTACTGACATGTGTCTTCTCTTCCATTTGATACACTACAGGCTGAAATTACGGTATGCTCTCTCACATTAAACTTGCTCTATGACCACAAAAATCTGCCTACATAACAGCCCGTAGCAGTGGCCAATGCAACAACCCCTTTATTAACGCCCCTGTCCTATGATTATGCACAGGAAAATGGACAGCAAACATCCCGGCCCAACATGTCAGTTCCTCAAATACTACAGTTCAGAAGTACTGATGGGCAGGTCACTAGGAACACAAACATGTTTGAAGAGAGAAGATAAACTTGTTGATTTAGGAAGCTTTGTGCCATTTTATATCTGAGAGCACTGTATCTTTTTGAACTACAATATGTTTAGACTTTCGGATGTTATCAGATATAATTTGAGGAACAGAAGCTGCTGAAATAGAAGTCTCAGCTTCAACGTGATTGAGTAACCTCTAACTCTGGCCAGGTTTTTCTAATTTGCTATCTCAAAAACAACTTAACAAGAAGTTTAGGTCTGCATAGTAAATAACCTTTATTTCTTTGAACCTTTGAAATAAGAAGAGTTTATTCTTTTTCTTCTTTTTAGATTATCAAGTTTGTCAGTTTGATATGCTCTTTCTGTAAACATAGAAGCAAAAAATCCTAATTTCATTCAGTCTTAAGAGTTTGCTGAATTGCCAGGGAAAAAAAAATACGACAAGGATTATGGGATAAAAAGAAGCACATTTTTTGAACAAACATGCCTTTTAAACTACTTTGGTATGACAAAGTATATCTTTCATTTTGAAGAAAAGAAACTTCATCAAGTTTAACTATTTTGATGGCTCATAGCCTGTGGCAATAACATAGAAGGTGCTTAATATTTGTGACATTATAGTGAACAACCTACGAGGAACAGAAGAATATTGAGTAACAAAGAATGTCTTTGGAAGTAATTAGGATTTTTAATTGCCAATTTTTCTACACAACTACATTTAGTATTGACATTTATTGAAGAGATTTTTCTTTCTTCTAGTATCTTCGGAATCATTTTCTAAAAACTTCAATATCAAACATTAGGATGGTATAGTTTGTTCCTTAGATATTCCAGTGTATGTATTTTAGAGGCAAATATAGCCTGGGCTATAAAAACAAGTGACCAGAAGTACCTTGACTATACAAACATGGAAGTTACACCAAGGTTACCAAATGATACTGAGTAAAATCTATGTATTTCCCAAATTTTTCCTACTATTTGGTTTTACCAGTGACCAAAAGTAAGTTGAGGTTCTAAGCTCCACCTGGCCTTTTCCTCGAGAAAACCACAAAAAGTTAACGTGCAAATAAGCTTTAAGGATTTTGAACTTTAGGGTTGATCAAGCACCACGTGAGAAACACCATGAATCCTCTGAAACTTACGTATCAAATCAAAGGTAAATTGACTAATTTACCTATACACACATCCAAAGATTTTTTCAGAATTGAGAATGTGCTACTCAGATATAAATGAGAAATATTTCATATAGACATTCGTGAAGGACACTATCTGAAAAATCACAAAAATCCTAATGGTAACTACTATGGTACTTGGTTTCTGCCACTAAGTTAATTGTCTTAAAGTAACCTAACTGCAAGTACTCTTGGGGGAAGAAAGTAGGTCAGCTCTCCGAGAGTGAACTGGATTTTGCTCTGATTCTCTGGAGAGAAAAAAGGGAAGAAGTGAGTAGAGAGAAAGTAATTATAGTCAGCTCCTTCCACATTCACAGACTAAACCAGCTATAGAAACATTTGAAAAAATACATCTGTATTGGACATGTACAGATTTTTTCTTGTCATAATTCCTTAAAGACTAACAGTAGTGCTAGTTGTGGTGGTACATATCGGTAATCCCAGCGCTTGGCAGGCTGAGGTTGGAAGATTGCCCTGAGTTCGAGGCCTGTCTGGCATACATAGTGAGTTCAAAGCCAGCTTGAACTACACAGCAAGAACTTGTCTATTAAAAAAAGAAGAACAACAACAGTAGTTTATATAGCACTTACCTCATATTAGGCATTATAAATGATCTAACAGTGATTTTAAGTATACTGGAAGATGTGTATTAGATGCAAAGATAGCCTTTTTTTATTCAAGGGGCTTGGGCATGGGCCACCTGTAGATTTTGATACATAAAGTGGGCAGCTGGGAAACCGATCCCACAAGGACACTGAGGGACAACTATGTAAAGATCCCTGGTCTGTTATCCAGGAACCCATAGGAGGCTTCTGTCCGTATGTATATATGGACAGATCAAGAGAGACGGATTGAGATTTGTTTGCAGAAACTTCATCATGAGATTATGGGGGTTAGTAAGCGTAAAATCTGCAGAAAAGGCTAGCAGGCTGGAAATCGAGTACTGGCGGATGCTGGGCTGCCTGGAGGGCTGTGTGGGTTTCTTGGCTCTGAGATCTTCAGGGTAGGCTAGCAAGGCAATCTTGCCATGTCGCAGGCTGAACTGATCTTGGGCAAGTCTTGGTCTTTTCTCAGATGTTCTTTAGCGGATTGGATCCCTCTACTCCCATTGTGGAGGGTGATTTGCTTGAATTCTATTGATTTAAATGTTAATCACATAAAAACAATACCTTCAGGTCAACATCTAGACTGTGGTGTGGTGTCTAAACTGCCACAGACTAGCTAAGTTGACAGATAAATTTCACATCTTTTTTTCACACCAGAATAGTTGAGCAAACCATATATTTCACAACTCCTAAAATTCTTTCAAATTCTAGAATACTATGGGTTCATAAGCAAATATAGCTATAGTTATTAACTTGGGAAGGGAAATTATTAGATTCCAACAGGATACTAGATTTCCTAACAGAAAACTCATTAAATTGAAATCATAGGAAATACTTCTGTGACATGAACCTTGATAGAGAGGTGATAGATGGATGATATGATATGATATGCTATAACATGTATTGAGAATCTTGTTTTAACATTCATTGTCATAAATTATCTGT